CTGTATTTCGAGTTTGTCTGTCAATCACTGTAACGGCATGATGATAAAGTAACAAGTCGCGTACTATTGGTTCAAAATGACAATAAACGTGGAGATATTTCATCAGCAGTGTTATCAGCGTGAAACAGTTTCTTCTGTTAATCAATACACAAGTCCACAGACTATCATGAAGCATGTCAACATTGTAAAATGGCCCTTTTAATCAGTCTAACGAACCAGATCCTCTCTGTGGGAGGATCAGTAGAAGAGCTTCATTTTTCCCTTGTAACATTTGACATGGTTAACATTTAACACAGGTGTTTCATTTGAAAACTACACCAGACACATGCTTGATAGTTAACATGCCTCTCACAGAATGTTTGTTAGTGGTCAAAAGGGATAAATGTTTAGGGCCTCTTTGGATTTATTGGGCTTTTTACTTGTGCCAAGGCAGGAAAAACATTGTAAAGCCTTCATAGCAGAAGGTGTGACCAGGAACCCTATTTAGCCACTAATGACAGCACAAAAACATTTTAATTTGTCCACCAACAACATGCAAAGCTGAGAAAACAAAGACTGGAATGAATGTGTGCATGCATGAGAACACAAATACTGTGAATAGTGAACTGAAGGATTGAAGCTAGCCCAAAAACAACAGAAGATTCTGCTTCCTTACTTTTTTGTGTTAATTTGGTGTGTCACAGCATTAGGGCCAGTGACTGCCGTGGTCTGAAGTCATGAAGAATTACTGGGATTAATGTTTCAGTTCCAGCAGAAGTCGTCAAGGGGAACTGAACCATCTCCATAGAAGGTTTATGTGACAGAAAGACGTAAATCTATGTTTTTTAGACCTTGTTTTTGCATGTCTTTGACCTCTGCCTGAAAATGTAACCATGCATGCATAATGTTTCGGCTTAAAAGAGTTGAAGTACTGAAGTGATGTTATGATAGAGGGCATCATGTTTTGTGTTGTTTTAGGGAATTTTATAAGAATCTAAGAGGTTGGGGCTTGGTCTTTAAAAGGGATAGTTCACCCAAAAATGAAATTCTGTCATCATTTACTCACCCTCAAGTTGTTCCAAACCTGTATGAATTTCTTTCTTCTGCTGAATACAAAAGAAGATATTTTTGAAAAATGTCAATAACCAAACAGTTGATGAGCCCTATTTGACTTGCGTATGACTTTTTTTTCCATACTATGGAAGTCAATGGTGTCGATCAACTGTTCTCCAAAACATCTTCTTTTGCATTTAGCAGAAGAAGGACATTTGTTTTGGAAATTTTAAGGGGAAAATTGTGTTTAGGAAAGAAGAAGAAGAAAGGAAGTTTTGACTTTGCTCGCTGTGTTGCTATTATTCTCGTGCACTGACTCATTCACGCTGTCACGCTGAACAGCCAATCAGAGTTCTCTCTCTCACTGACGGCCCGATGCCGATTCTACATGCTGAATTGGCCCAAAAAACCCTGGCGGCGTCCGACTAGAGCCAACGGTGCGACACTCAAAAACGGCCCGACGGCCGGTCGTCGGCTTTGTGTGTTCCGGGCTTTAAATGCAGGACTTTCTTTAGTGTTGAGATGGCTTAGTAAAATGCATAATTGTATTTTAAACTTTTTTTTATTGTGCCTGTCACAATCATGAATTTTGTGATGATTAGTTGTCATACAAATAATTGTGATTAGTGATTTAATTTGTTTTGTTCTGATCCCTAATGTTATTTTTTCACTTGAAATTGTATATAAATATAATAATAATAATACAATTAAAAATTAGAATAAAATATACACATATGATTTACTTAGGCTAAATATTATGAGAATTTATATAATATAATATAATATAAGACTCCTCTGCTTCTTCCTACCACATCGGAAAAAGAGACACAATATCGAGCCTTTGATGGCATTTCTTTAAGCGCTTGGATTTCCCTAATTTGGATGAGAAAATATGATTGTAATTTAAACTGCCCAATTATTGCAGTTTTCTCAAATAATTGCAATTAGATCGAACAACCATGATCAGACGATTAATCAATAATCGCGACAAGCCAATGTGTGACACCTAGTAAAGCATGTGATCTCAGCCACCCATGAAGCACAGCATTCCTCAGAGGCAGAAAGTTTTCTATAGGGGGTTAAACAACATGTCTGGCATTATCAAGTTACCTTTAATTCACTTTCTCTTTCGCACCTTCTTTCACAGCATCACTGTCCACAGTGTGTTTTTGTTGTTCCAGCCACTCAAGGTGGTCCAGAGTGTGTAATGGTTACAGCTATGATAAGGAATGAACCTTACCACATTCAAATCTTGTATTTATTAGTACAAGCTCATTCATCACTGAAGAGCACCTTATATGTGGTGTATATTTGTGCGCTTGAATCAACAGAGCACTTGCAGGTTAATTACCTCTGTGAAGTTTGATGCCCACAGCTGACCAGGTTGTTTTTTTTAACAGAAACTCGAACAATAATTAAGCTGTTTTGGTTTAACCTATCTGCACCTTGACAAAGCCTTGGTTGAAAAGCCACACATTTATTCCTTTTATTTTGTATATCTAAAAATCAGTTATTATTGTTATTGAAATGGAAATAAAAATATTAAAAAACAACTATTGGCTGGACGCATACCACACATACTATTATTTAAAATACAAAACAAACATACATACATGTATTTTTTATATGTATATACTTTACTGTAAATACTTGCTTAATTGGTTTGTTCATTCATTCGTTTTTTTAAATTGTATTGTATTATGTTGCAATACTGTATAATGCCAGAGCCTCACTCTAAGCATGATAAGCACTCTAATCTGTCTGTACACAATATAACAAACAAAACTTGAAACTTCTGCGGTTCTATTAAAATAGCGACTAAAAGATCCTTTATGAACTCAATCCTGAAAAATTGACAGATTTGACTAACATTTGAAGCTGATAATCAAAACCATTTATGTGTGTGGTGATATGATAAATTATATAGATTTACCCACTATATTAAAAAACACTTTAATATAATTACATAGATATTTAAGTATTTCGCGGGTCTCGTACACATATTGTCTTCAGGTTTTAAATATATACACATATTGTCTTCAGGTTTTAAATATATACAAATATTTCATAATTTTTTTTTAATTCTTTTGTTTTGTTTTCCTAATTTTATTTCTGATTTCTGATTGTATTTATTTACTATTAGGGTTTATTATTGTGTAGTCAAGTGATAAAGTGGTCAAGTGGCCTTGTTTGTCATTTCAGTATAATGAAAGTTGCCTGCTATTACTTGTGATGAGTGGCAAGTGCTGTAGGGTAATGTGATAAAGACAAAATGGGTATTTGAGAAGCCAGGACACGCACAAGACATTCACATGTGATTTTCAAATCTTGTTTACTCAAATTAATTTATGCTTGGAAGTCAACTGTTTGTTTTTTATATTAATTTGTAATTTGTAATTTAAGAGACTTGTTCCACTCCCTTTCTACTTCTTCCTTGCCTCTATTTGCAGTGTGACGGCTACTATCTGTTGAGATATTCCTGTGACAAAAAAAGTTATCAGAGCAGCTTCATGAGACAATGAGCCCAGCATATTTCCCTGGATAGAGGAATTAATGGTACATGTGTCCTTAGTAAAAAACACATTCATGTCAGCTCAATTGGAGCTGGAACTCTCAATTGTTGTGCAAAACATTTCACACTTTCACATAAAAAGATTGTATTGTTAAATAGACCGTTTCTGCAGTTATAAACAATATATAAGCATAAACAATTATATAAACTCCAAGGACAATCTAAGGATGTGCTGGTCCCACATTAACACCACCTTCCTGAAAATAAAGGAAGACAAGGATGGATTTATCAAGTGCATGTGTCAGGTTTTCCTCTCATAACACCTCTCAGACTACATGTGGTCAGAGACCTTAGAATAAGATGTTTCCTGTTTAAGACCTTAGACGGGATGTTTTTCCCATGGAAAACAGTGTCAAAAGTGGAAAGCGACGAGCTAAGGCATGTTTCAGCTTACTCTGAGAACTCTGCTGACTCTCCGAGTGCTCTTACAACAAAAAATAATGGATTAGTTTCTATTTTCTTCTGGAAACAAACTTTTTGCATTATTTTCCTGTATCTCTGTAAAGCTGCTTTGAAACAATCTGTATTGTATAAAGCGCTATATAAATAAATGTGACTTGACTTGACTTGGGCTTGACATTAATACTCCCACTTGTGGAAATATTGTGGGACAAGCAACCTATGCTTTAGGACAAGTAAACAATCCAAGTCCGAACTTGATTACTTATAGAGTAGTATTGCATCCTTCATATCTCCGAAGAGTTTTTAGTTTTATCAGATTTATAAAAGACAGATACAGCTGTACCGCTTCTTTCCGAAAACAGTCGAGCTCCTGGAGGCGTGCTGTGCAGCGCTGCCGACGACTTCCGTAACCCGAACAAAGCATGTTGATGGGTGTGCTCTTGTTCTTGCTCTTGCGCTGGTTGATGTGTGCTCTTCCGGCAGAAGCGCCCATATTCAGGAATTCTGCTCTTTAAGATGTCATACAGGGCCATACTCGAAAAAAACTTTCCGAAACTTATACGAACCTTGAAGAAGTGCGTTTGGCACAGAAATACCCCATATTACGTCCAACTTGTTTTTTGAAACTTTGGCCATGAGAATCCAACTCTTTAACAGCGTAAATAATAAGTCAGAATGCATGAAATAGGATTAGACATCCCCTTTAAGCTGTTAAATGAAAATCATTCAATCACGCTCCTGATTGAACTTTAGTCCTCCTTGGATTTTAGGGTTTGTTGTTTTCCATCACTTGCATGGCTTTAAGGGACAATTTTCTTTATGTCTTCATAAGCGGGCTTCAGACTGACTTGTGCCTTAAATGAACAATTTCTATCAGAGTCTCTTTATTTTATATCCATTAAAGCATATTTTATAATATAAATACAAAACTAAATATATATTTTAAATGATAGTGACTCAAACTAACCATGTTTTATTTTATTTTTTTCTATAGGTGATCTCTCCCCTGTGCAGATGTCACCAATCTCCCAGTCTCAGTTTATTCCACTGTCTGAAATATTGTGCTCTGTCATATCAGACATGAATTCCACCCATGTGATTGTAAACCAGGAAGCATTGATCAATCACATGATGAAAGCACACCCAGGTAACACAATATTCACTTACCTGTACACTACCTTGTTACATTTTTATTTGTATTAATTTTCATTATGAAATGGCTATATTTACACCAACAAATATTTGTTTCAGGAATGACCATTCCCACTCAAGACATCCTGTACAATGCTTTGGGAGCGCTTATTAAGGAGAGGAAGATCTATCACACTGGTGAGGGCTACTTTGTAGTCACCCCTCAAACATACTTCATCACCAACAACATGGTGAAAGAGAGGAATTGGTGGAGTGCTGGCGACAGTGACCTGCCGTCACCACCTCCCATCACGTACCTGGTGAGCAACGAGAGCTGCATGGACACCTCTAATGAGGTGCCTGTCATGGCCCACTGTAAGTCCTGCAGCTGCTTCACCCCTCCGTCCATTGTACCTCCATCTGTCCCAGAACATCAATCCATCAGCATCAGTGAGTGCACTGGGAAAAGCCTCAAGTGGCCCAAAGAACACAAACCCTCCGTTCAGCATCAGTCCACATCTACTGCAGCAGACTACCAGGCCAGTGAGATTAGCAAATCCACCAACACAAGCCGCAAGGACAAGGAGAAAGCTGGCCGCAAATTTGGGCTTAACCTCTTCCGACGAAATACAGGGAAGAAGGACAACAAACTAAAGAAAGAGTATGCCACATTCTCTGGGCAATTCCCTCCGGAGGAATGGCCTGTCAGGGATGAGGAAGACTTAAACAACCTCCCCAGGGATCTAGAACATGCCATCATCAAACGGATCAACCCAGAGCTCACTGTGGACAATTTAGTAAAGCACACGGTTCTTATGAAGAAGCTTGAGGAGAAAGCTGAGAGAGGTACAGAGAAAGCTGTGGACAAGGGTATTTCCACCGAAGCTCTTCTAGCTAAGCAGAGGCACCATACCTCCAAGGCCGTGGGGAAGAAATTGGCTCCTAGAGCAACTCGTAGCAAGAGAAGAGGACCTTCATCCAAAGAGAAACAAAGGGCAAAGAATAAGACTCTCCAATGTGCTGAAGATTTAGAGGCAGATGATCAGAGTACACCTCACCTCAGAGCAGAATTAGCTTTAGATGAACCTGACAATAATGTAGAGAGTACCATTCTGAATCCAAAATGTGTCTACAAGAAACGGATAGACAACCCATTTTTGGGATTGCCAGGAAAAGATGTGGAAACAAACATCAACCATAAAGAACAAAGGAGGAGAGAAGCCAAGATTCCAAACACCGGACGGCGGGAAATACCAGGTCACAGGTCAAAATCCTGGGATCCCCATCGAGCAAAAGCAATAGCTGACAGCGTAGAGAGATCTCACACACTGAAGGATGCACCTTGTGAACAGGTCCATAAAAGAGCACAGACTGTGGACTCCACTCTGGATGTTCAACCAATGCAAGAGCTTTGTGGAGATTACAGCTCAGCCTACCCTGAGAGCAGCACATTGAGGATAGAGGACAAAATTAAGCTAAGAGAGAATAAAGTCCGAAGCAGAGAGTTTAGAAACGACAGATTAAAAGAAATTAAACATCAGGATGGACACCTGAGAAATGTTCCTGACCAATATAACATTGTAGATAATCCTTCACATTGTGATACAACAGAAGTACCCCTCTTGTGGCCTAAACCTACAATTCAACGTAGACTTTCCCTACATCTACTTAACAGTAAAGAAGAGTCTCATCACCGTCCTGATCTGCTATCCTCACACCAGCAAGTTGGCAACATAACTAACCATCAGCTGCCAGATGGTCAAACCTTGGAGAGAAACACAAGCCAGACTGAGAGTGAGGTGTATACAGATGATGAACATCGCATCTATCAGAAGGCAGTGGAGGATGAGGATGGTTGTAGCTCCGTCTGCCTAAATGAGGAATGCATAATTGACTGTGAGCTATCACAAACTAGTATAGCTCGTTACCATGAGTCTGTCTGTGCAGATGGTGGCTGGGATGGCCATTTCATTGAGGAGCATGCTCATCACAAACCCACCAGAACCACACACAGGCCACATGAATACAGGTGGCAGTCCTCTGATCACCAGATACTTCAGAAAGGTGCTAGCCCCAGACAAGAGGTCCAGTGTTTGAGAAAAAGACTACATGAATCCAGTTTAGCAGATGATGAACATACTGAAGCCCTGGAAACCAGCATTTTTGACTACTGTCAGACAAGCGAAGTGGAGTCTGATTCTGAGACCATACATAAATCTGCAGATGAAGCTGATGTAGGCAAATCTAAAAACTGGATCCGTCTCCAAGAATTGAAGGACTGCCATCAGAACACAAGAGAGACATCTAAGGATACTGTGAACATCAGTGCAAACCCGAATGACCCTACAGGGCCCTGTGCAGGAGAAACTGCAGAGAGTCAGAGTTACACAGCAGATAGTGGGATTGACTCTCCAAGGTTAGTCTAAGGTAGGGGTGTAACGGTACACAAAAATCACGGTTCGGTACGTACCTCGGTTTTAAAGTCACGGTTCGGTACGTTTTCGATACAGCAAAAAGTAAGAAATGCCAGAGAAATTTCCTATTTGTTAAAAGAAAAAATATTTTTTAAATAAGTTGAGTTTTCCTACATCTTGAAACTTTCAGGTTTATAAATGGGTGTCATCTTTGAAGGATGAACAAATAATGTTTTGGTCATCACATTAAAAATAACATTTAAATATATGAAGAGTTCAGATGCAAAAGCCATTTGAAATTTTCTTTATTTTTATCAAGCTTGTATATTTAAGTTCAGTAATTTCACTTAAATGGCAATGAAGATTACCTATTAATTGTCATTTGAGTGAAATTACTGAACTTAAATATACTTCATAAAAATGATCATTCTAGAAGAAAATTTCAAATGGCACTTAGAGGCTTTTGCATCTGAACTCTTCATATATTTATTTATATAATATTTGAGTTTTGAAGTGCTGGAAAAAGATGTGTGAAGTACTTGAAAGCATTTCACTATTCCAGCCAAACTGGTTACAGTTATGGTGAATGTTGCTGGTCTGTGGTATTACTAACTTAGTTCATTCACGGCACAATATTTCTCCTGGTGTCCACGTCAGCGCTGTTTGATCTAATAGAGATCTACGGTTAATAACGGAGAAATGTGAATGCTTCTCACTAGATCTCGCAGCGATGTTATTACTTCAGTGGCGAATTCAAATGTTTTCTTTACTGGATCTTAGCGCTGTGTAGTGACAGTGTCGCTTGATCGAGATCGGCTCGATCGAGATGTTGCTGGTCCGAACTCGGAACTGATAAACGATCCGTGAAGCACATGAGTAGCGCAGTTTCGTTCCGCTTTCTTTACGCTTGCCATTTGATGTTGCGCAACGTTGTGGTGGTCGCGCGAGCGCGAATTTTGTCGGTAGGAAAAATGGTCCAAGGAATCGTTCGGTTTGTATGCGTACCGAACCGGAAGCCTCGAACCGAAACGGTTCAATACGAATACATGTACCGTTACACCCCTAGTCTAAGGTCATTAGAGGGATAGTTAGTTCACCCAAAACTGAATATTCTGTCATCATTTACTCACCCTCAAGTTGTTCCAAACCTGTATGAATTTCCTTCTTCTGATGAACACAAAAGAAGATATTTTGAAAAATATGGGTAACCAAACAATTGACGGTAGCCATTGACTTCCATAGTAGCTATGGAAGTCAATGGCTACCGTCAACTGTCTGGTTACCAACATTCTTTAAAATATCTTCTTTTGTGTTCAACAGAAGAAAGATGCTCATACAGACTTGGAACAACATGAGGGTGAGTAAATTATGACAGAATATTAATTTTTACGTGAACTATCCCTTTAAGGGTTCATGGTTGCCTGTATTTAAACACTTTCAATTTACTTACATTTGGAGGTACATATCAGAAAGTTTTACAGATGTTTTTATTCCAGAATAAATATTTTCCTTTTCACTGATTATTTGCAGGACACACATGAGTGTAACCTCCAGTAACTCAGCAATTCTTAATGGATTGAAGCATCGTGGCTTCCTGCAGAACCTTGAAAAGCTCCAGTCCAATGGCATTCATCCTCAGAGTTCACTGCTCAAGCTTACACCTGTCATGAATGTTTAAACAGATTAAAATGTCGCTCAGTATCTGGGTATAGTTATATCATGTAAAAAAATGTATATAGTCCTACAAATGTAAATACCCCCCTCCCCACACACAAAAACTAGGAAAGGAATGTAGGTTGTGCTTTTTATATATTTAATTCAGTACAGTTTACATTTTCAGTTACATTTTGACTGATTTGTTTTGTTAACATAGTTTTGTACATTGGTCTTTTGTTGTTTAGTCAGAAAGCCTGAACATGTCAATTATCTGCTCAAGTCAGTCCTCTGTTATCGATGTACAAATGGGTATTTCACAGAAATAAAGTGTTGAAAAATGGCGTCTTGTTAGATACACTTTTGGCCTGAAATAAACAAGTCAAAACTAAATTAAATTTTATTTAGGGGAACAGATATAGCCTTGTGAAAATATATGAATAAATCTGTCAGCAATACAAATAAGCGTATGTGTACTAGAAGCCATATGTTCATGTAATGACATGAAAATATCATTCCCCAATTATTTCATTTAATGTAATTTCTAAATTAAGCAATGTTTGTTAAGAAAACATTTCAATTTAATCTTACAATAATCCAACTCTGAAGCTTATATTTACATCTATAAATCTCCAAGTTCCTCACATTAGCTTGAAAGTTTTCATCTGTACTCTACAAATGAACGGCTTGACCTCCAGTACAGTTGAATGGCGATGAATACTTTTAATTCATCAAAATGTCACTTGTGGTCTTGTCAGTTGACTTGCTACAACAAAGCTTACCTTTACAATGCCATTGACGGTCATGAAAAATTCATGATTGACCTGCAGCTTATCCAACATTCATAATGACAAATGCAAGTAGAGCCATAGCTTAGTGTTGTTAGATGTATGATACAGACACAAAGTATTGGGATGTGTACCCGACTATTTCAGATTAATTTCTAGCCACATACAGTTTGATTCCAGCACTTTTAACCAGGAGGCTGAGCTTTACAGGTTCAGGCAGGAGCTGAACAGATGGGGTTTCTGAATGACAGGTATTGAATGATGGCTGACTTTGTCATGTTTCATTCAGCCTCACTGGCAGAGAACAAAGGCCAAAGCCTTCCTGCATGTGTTCATAAAAGACAGCACAGGCATACTGTAGGTTACAAACCACTGTTATTTATGAGGTCAGTGACATTGAATCTGTATTATTTAGCCAGTTTGTATTGTATTCGTTGCACTCAAGAGTTTTAAATTCTTTAAAATGTTGACAAATAATAACAAATCAGCTAGTTTTAAAGCAAGGTGTGGTGTTTTTCTTTTTAATAAAATACCAATACAATGTGCAGTGCAACCCTTTTCTATCAGACATTGTCAACAAGCAATGGTCCTCGTTTTTTATTACTTTTTTTAAAGGAAAGGGCGCACCCTAGTGGTATCTGATCACAGTGGGAACAGTTTGGCCACATTATGTCATCCTTTTAATGTTAGGATTAGTGTTTATTCCTGCCTCACAAAATATGCTAGCCCTGGTGGCAGGGCAGCTTTATAGGTGTTTCCCATATGACAAGATGTGCTACCCATGTTTTAACCTCATTGAATAGTGGTTTTACAACCGGACAGGTTTTTTTCTGTCAGATGAGCTACCCATGACATTTCAAAAATTACATTTTAAGTTAGTTCACCCAAAAATGAACATTCTGTCATTAATTACCCTCATGTCGTTACAAACCCACAATACTTTTGTTCATCCTCAGAACACAAATGAATATATTTATAATGCTTTCTGTCCCTCCAGTGACAGCTACTCAACTACAGCGTTGGCGCTTCAAAAAGTTCATAAAGAGATCGTAAAACTAATCCATATGAATAGAGCGGTTTAGTCAAAAATTTCTGACAGATTGAACACATTGAATTTAGGCTTTTATTCACATTTAAACATTCTGTTTATTGAACATAAATGGCAGAAGTGTTCATTGTTAGTCCATGATATTAATGCATCAACAAACTGAACCTTATTGTAAAGTGTTGACCTATTTTTATTTTTAAAATTTGGTTGGGACCATAGACTGTAAAAAAAGGTTGGATACTATAGGAAGGCGAAGGAGCCATCCGCCATGACTATAGGGGGTGGTCGAGCGCTTGTTTCTTCACTGCTTTGTTTTTTTGCTCATGCGCTCCAACATAGTTGGCGCCAGATGATCCGCGGCGCCATCCCGCTACGTACGTACGGAGGGAGGGAGAGAGAAAGAGTGACAGAGTGCAAACCGCAACCAGGCAGTACAGACGCAACAAAACGAAGATCTTCAGGCCGTTGACTACGCCGCGACTACCAGGAGCGCATCTCGCAAAAAGGCCATTAACGGGCAAAGAGGTCGGGCATGTTTTTTTTTAAAATACGTTTATACATGACCGTTTAATGTGTATGTGCGTCAAGGTTTTGCATACCGTTGCAAGTTTACTTAGCTGGCTAACTAGCGTGCTATATTTGATACAATGTTGTGATTTAATTAACGTTACACCATACGTTGTAGCATAAGCTGCTTGACCAATTTTTGAGCACACTGGGATAAGTGGCGCTCGGTCAGCTTTACCGATGAATTGTGGACGTCACGAAGTTCGGAGGTGTTCTGTAGCAATGGCGGCGGAGGCGGCTAGTGTTCCGCTAGCGAGGCAGCTTAGCAGGACGACAGGCCATGTTTGTTTCACACAGCTAAAAATGGGCTAGGACTATAGCATGATAAGCACCGCTTATAGCAACGCGGTGCTCGTGTCAATTAATTCGGATGATTTCAAGATTAGCACATAGCCACAAAAGACGTTGAGCACATACTTATTTTGTTTTTAATTCGACGCCACAAAACAAAAACGCGTTATGTAAGAAGGGGGGCGCCTTCCCGGGCTTTCGCGAATAGCGTACATCTGAGATTAGCCCTTAACTCGAGCAGTTTGCCTTATGTCATGATAATCTTGCGTTTTTAGAGCTATGGCAGCAGAGCTTCGCAGCGAGCAATCAAACTAACCTATTATTATGACCTGGTTTATTTGCGTTTCCTCACGTTGCGTATTGTATCTGCGTGAGGGGCGGAAGCTAGTCGCGGCGGCCATTTTACAGCTAGTTAGCTGTTCCAACCTCCGGCGGACAAGATGCCCACCGTTAAACTCGTTGTATTTTCTTGTAGCTGTAGTCTCTACGTGACTGTACGGCACTAAAAAGTGTATGTATGACTTAAAAAAATACAAGTTAAGTCCCGCAACTAAAGGCAGTCTGTCAGCTTCTCGATCCTGTATCATTTTATGATAAAGCTATAGTGCTAGTTAGCCAGCTAGTTAGCTGATAATGCATGCTCAAGAAAGCTACCTAGCAGCTATTTAGCCAGCTAACCTAGCCAACAGTGACAAACCAGCAGTATGTGAAAATTGTAAACATGGGGTTTAGTTTGTTTTATATATGAGTCATGTTTAAAGGAGTTAGCTGTGATTCAGTGCAGCTCATTTGAGAAAATTAAATGTCTGAACTGTAGATTCATGAATACTTAGCCTGTCAAGTTAGCCTAATATAAACTACCCATAGGCTAACTTTAGCCAATTTGTAGCTACTGATATTTCTGCTAACTAGCTTTATGGTTGTTTCTAGATTAGGCTCATGTTTACATTTTTTTTAAAGAGTTTTTTTTTTGCAAACTATAATGTATATAAAGTTAGCTCAGTTCATAGTTCTGTTCATCTATGCAACACTCTTTCTATATTAGAATGATGTTGATTTTTGGATTTGTTTATGCATCATTTTATTCTGTTGTCTCTTGATTTTTTTTTTTCAAGTTTACGGCTAGACATTTAATCTGGGTTATTCCCCATTTCGTTGAAGCTGTTTCTATCTTTGTTACATTAAATAGCATAAATTCATTTCTTGATTAGGCTAATTACTTTCACGATAATTACTTTAGTCTGTATGTTTTGCATACCTTATTTTTACTGTTAATGTTTCTCAAGTAGTAAGATCAAGCTGAAAGTCTGCCTAAATGTTTTCATCAGAAATGTTTCTCTATCATTATCAGAGTTTAAAGATGTTTCTTCTTCCAGCAGGCAGGACTGCTCCTGACTCAATAACTGAGTGAGCCTGCGGCAGGCAACCCTTCAAGTTTCTTTGCAAGAAAGCGGTGCTCGTAGAGCAACGCTAAGTTTTACTTAACCGGGAAGACGGAAGTCGTCAGGCTGGAGTGCGTCCTGATGGCCGAGTCAGAGACTGACTGTGACACACCAGGTCTCGATACATTGGGATCTGAGTGTGTCATAGCCCATACTCAAGTTGGTGACTTGCATTATGGAGCGGAGACTGAGATTATGACTCAAGAGGACAAAAGGCTTGACCTGGAGGCCATTCATGGTGATTTAGGGGCAGTGACCTGCGTGGATGTGGTAACAGAGACGGACCATGACTATATTAAATCTGAAATACACCACGATCATCATCAGTATTTCAGCAGTGCAGAAATAAAAGGCAATGAGCATTTGCTCGGTGAGGTGCTGTTAAAGACAGAGATGGGTGGTGGAGAACATATTGTAAAGGTGGAGTCTGACCATGGAGGTGAGCTTACGGTGGAGTCAGAGAATGGCGTTATCATCCACGAAGCCCATGGCCTGCAATGCAGTGAGTGTGGTGAGATTTTTGACTGTATGTCTGATCTGCACGAACACTTTGAAATCCACAAAGCCACTCACCCCTACATTTGCGTCCACTGTGGTGAGAGCTTTGCTATTGAAGCCAGCCTAAGAAGTCACATGAGGATTCACATGAAAGAGAAAAGTTACACCACTGGTCTTGAGATGGTTGGTAAAGGAGTCATTGATGCATTCAACTTGAAACCGCACCAGATGATGCACTCTCCTGAAAAGCCGCACAGATGTTCGGAGTGTGGTAAAAGCTTCGCTGCCGCCATCACTCTCCGGGAGCACATGAAAATGCATTCAGATGACAAACCCTACAAATGCACCCAATGCCGAAAAAGCTTTGTGCGCAGACGCCATCTCAAAAAACATCAGGAGCTGCATGCCCACGACAAGCCATTTACATGTCTTCAGTGCGGGAAAGGCTTTACGACGGCTTCCAATCTTAAACAGCACCAGAAGACTCATGCTGGTGAAAAGCCGCACAGATGCACCCAGTGTGGAAAGTGTTTTGCCGCCGCGGCCACGTTGAGGGAGCATCAGAGAATCCACTCAGGAGAGAAGCCCTACAAGTGCACCCAGTGTCGAAAGAGCTTTGTCAGGAAACGTCACCTCAAGAAGCATCAGCTGGTCCATCAGGGTGGAAAGCCCTACCGGTGTTCTCAGTGCGACAAGGGTTTCAACCATTCCTCTTCATTGTCACGGCACCACAAGGTCCACTTGGAGGCCAAAATGTATGCCCAGGGCGATAAGGATTTCCCCTTTGATACTTCGATGAAGAGGGGAATGCATGCAGGTGAAAAGCCATACAGCTGCAACCATTGTGAGAAGAGCTTCAATCACTCATCATCACTATCCAGGCATCAGAGAACTCATTCTGATGGAAAGTCCTACACCTGTGCTCAATGTGGGAAGAGGTTCAATCATCCCTCATCTCTCGCAAGGCACCAGCGGGTTCATTTGGAGGATAAGTCGACTTACAGTGCTATTGCTACAGGAAAGGGATTCCCCCACACTACCATCTTGAAACAGAGAATTCTTCAGAGTGAGAAACCATATAGGTGCGCTCAGTGTGGAAAGGGTTTCAATCATTCATCCTCTCTGTCTAGGCATCACAGAATTCACATTGACCAATAATCTTGTTTCCCTTTCCACCACAAGTGGTGTGCTACCATTCATCCAATGATTCAGGCCAGCTTGTAATGTTAAAGGGTTTGGCTAAAGATGCAAGAAAATCCAGAAAGTCAGTGTGGGCCTGCTCTAAGGGAACTTGTTCTAAAATCAAGTCCTTTGACTTTTTAAAGAGGAATAAATTAGAATTTGGTATGATTGACACTGAAATCCCCTGTGTAATGTGCACATGACTAGATACATATGTAATTCTGGAACTTGGTGTTTGATTAAAACCATAGACAAAACATATTGAGATTCCATCATCACTGACTTGTGCTTTAAGCTGGTTTTGGAAGCCTGGCACAATCTTGAAATTGAGTATTAGGTCAAGTCGGTTGAGTGGCAGACAATTAAGCAAATAGTCTAGATGCAACGATTCACTCCCCTAGTCTGTATCTTTTAACCATCTCTGCATCATTAATGGGTTGAGAAACTGGTATCATGTGTAAATATATGTTGATTTTCTTTTATATAGATATGTATAGGTAAGTAGTGCTGTAATTTTCTGAAAATGGAGCATTTTTTGATGTATGATCCAGTTAGTCTTATCCATCTCTTGACAGTGAAGTGGGATGTCGCTAGTTTTGAACAAGCTGTCCTGTTAAATATAAAGGCTGTATTAATAATCAAACCCCTTACGTTGCAAACCAACGGAGTCTGTAACCTAAAACAGCATAACTCCGTGAAGTTCGCTCATGCACAAAGGTGAGGGGCAAGAAATCTAATCTTCTACATCATCAAGAAAAATAGATCTTGTTCATAAAGAGTCAACCCAATAAAATCAGGTAATATATACATTTTTCTGTCGGGAAATTTGGTTAACTTTTCATGGTGCCAGTTTTCAATGGACAACTGAATTATATAGCTGATTTTGTTATACAAGGCAAACTTGGTACACCCTAAGTGTTCCCCTAAATATCTTTAGTGCTTCTCCCTGCTACCAGTGGCTGACCGCGCATTTAAGATTTACTCGGCCATTGTGAAACTGGGACAGCAGTGTATAGAGTATCAACATTGATTAATAATAAAAATAATAATAATAGATTGTGTATACTTTATGCAAATACAAAATATAGCTTGCTTTTTTTTTTTAATAGTTTGATTCATTTTCTCACTTTAATCCATTGGTTTGTGCTTTCTATTTACAGTTCTGTGTATGGAGAAAATCTTTTACAAATGGATGTATTTTTTTAATAAGGTTTGGGTAATTGAAAGGGAAATGAAAGGAATACTGTTTTTATGGGAGTGAACATTGTATCAGAACTATTCTCATTCTTTTCCATTGGATAACAAATCTGCTTCATCGCGTAGCATAGGTTTATTCATTGTGTTAGTTAGGTGCCTTATTGCATGCTGTGTAGAAATGTATGCTGAGCTATAATAGAAAAAAAAAAAGGTTTTGGCTCCCGCTCCCTTTTTGTTTCTTTACATACTAATCAATGTTTTAATTTGATGATTTTTTTTTTTTTTTTTTGCTTCTCTGTACATGAGTGTTTACGCTGTTACCTATGTCTTTTAATTTACTGTCAACAAGCCTCTTATAGATTAGAGGTTAAAGAAAGTTACAATGCCATTGATCCATATGTTGATTGCCCTCTATAATGGTCTATTCTTGTCCCATCTGTCTATTCCCCCATCTTTGAGTGGCTCACATATATGGATAAATAAAGGTTGTTGACTATCAACAGGTTCATACAGTTTTTTTTATAGTACCTTCTTGCATCCATCAAGGTCTACTGTATGTAGTGTCTTTAGTGAATTTAACATTGTTAAAAGGAGATTTATCATGTCATTAAGGATGATACAATATTGATGATTTAATATTTAGAGGGGATAAAATAAATCCAATAAATGGAATGAAATGGCTAAAACCTCAACACCTTCACTAAGGAATTGTACCTTCAATTACTTATTTTTGTTATTTATTTTTTGATGTGAAGATAAGATCAGATTAAGAGACTCATTATTGGTGAGGTTATTGCTGACGCAGAGTTACTCAAGTTTCTGACACAAGTTGGCAATAATTCTATAATTGACCTTGTTAGATTTGTGTCCAGGGCCATTTGCTGGTTGATCGTATTCATCATTGGTCAATGATTAATTACAAGATTACACATGTAGGTATTTTCTTAATTTTCAAAGATACACTATGTAATTTTTTTTTTCTCCCAAAATGTATATAAGCGAGTATGAGTACAACCTCCGCGGAGTAGCCTAGTACCTGCGTGACTCGTCATATACATAAACAGAGGATTTTATATCCCACGACACATGCAGTTTTGTTAATTAACTGCTAGAGTGGCAAAAGTTACGTAGTGTACCTTTTAAAGTATTACTAATCCACACCATCAGCACTGTTACTCTACAGCTATTGTGAATCTGAATTTCAGATTAGGGCCATTCGTTTTTCAACTGAGCAGTCAGTCACATGTTTTCTTGTTGGTGATAGTTTGGAAATGTTACTGGAGATCAAACAATATACAGCATGTCAGTGTTAATAATTGATGGTTTATATGTGTATCTCAGGTAATTTTCTTTACAAAACATGTTGTTTTTCAATTCTTTTTAAACATTTTATTTTTGTTAATTCATTTGGGATATTCTGGAAATTGCTTTTTACCAGAATAAGCACATGCCTACTTCTCTTGATGTTGTATTTTTGCCCCAAATTCCCCAATGTTAAACCTATTGCATTTGTTTGTCACTCAAATTCAAGATGAACTCAAACGAGACTGTTTCAGAATTATTTTTATATTTTTTTTTTGTAGGACAGGTGGAGAAAATCTCAAGATCACTCAAGATGAGTTTCTTCACTATAAGTGCTTTCATAAAAATTTTTTTTACATAGGTGCTGGAGAATCATGCACTGAGGTAAGTTTTCTAAATGTGAATCTGTTTTTTTATTTTTTATTATTGCTGTTATTTATTTTAAACTTGCATTACTGAAAAGCTGCACTAATGCATGGGAAGAAAGCTCTACTACATACCACCCAGTATTCCTCCATCAGTTCAAACTCTGGATTTCAGTTTTAATGTTTTGAAACACTTGCAGGAAAATTATACTTTCTACAATGTAACTAAATTGAATCTTACTGGAAACCCTATTACATATTTTGGACCTGGATGCTTGAATTCTTTACATACACTACAAAGATTAGTTCTTGTGGATGTTGGTCTCGCGTCCTTAAAGCTTCAAATGATTAGTTTGTATGTCTCGGATACTGTCGGTCGTTTAACATTTCTATTATAAAACAGTTAAATGTTTAGCTACTGTAGCCTATCTTAGCCTATATCTTACCGCTCTTTAACTGAACGAATTAAAGGTCGGTGAACAGTAAAAATCCACCTTCAGTGCTGTGCATGTTGATTTTCAAATTTCCCATAAATCTTTTTTTTTTTTTTTGCAGAATTCTGTCAGTAAAATGCTTTAAAACGGAAGTCAGGCTCCTCAGTCACAATAACTTTTTAATTCAAATTATTTTAATCTGTTTCTCTGATCTATTAGTAGCCTAATTTTGTAGGCCTAATGTTGAATCTATCTGCTGTTCTTTTATGAAACGAGTGTTGGAGTAGCAGTGTCGGCTACTTCTGCAGTTTCAGATCCAACCAATCAAAGTCTTGGCATGTAAAAAATACGGGTTTAATATGAAACTGCAGAATATGAAATATGAAAACTAATTCATAGGCTATACAGTATTTATGTTATAGCCACATAAGTCATTTTTCATGGACGATGTTGGAGTCATGCTGTCAACTTAAAACGTTTTAAAACAGTCATGAAAATGTAATAATAAATGTGAGGACGATGAGGACATCTGCTGGTCAAAAAACGTCTAAATGCAGTGGCAAGACTCAGCAACTAATGATGAATAAATTAATGACTAAACGCAGCCGCGAATGAACTGGGAATTTCCGTTTCCTGTCTGCCTCTGCTGAGTGGTTTGTGATTGTAACTCAGTTTAGCTTCGTTTTGAATCTTACTATCGTTTTTCGTATAAACTGCTGAATATAAGTTAGTTTAACTTTTATTCAGTTTATTTAAACTTATGTTTATAAACTTATTTTAACTAAGTTTACCCGACACGGTTGCTATTCTGCTTACCTGGTAGACCAAAGGTGAACGAAATGTTCCTCTAAGCATAATTTTTCATATTAATATTGTGGTAGTCTGTGGATGTCATCTGGTACAGACATGGCCTACTCCGAGACCAGCAATATTAACTTCTTGCTAAAATAAATAAAAGTTGTTCCGCCCCTCCTCCACTGTGATTGAAGGGCTGGGTAAAAAGCCGACTAAAAATTTAATTTTGGTTTTATTAAGCCTACATACATGGCACTCCCATTGCAGCAATTAAACAATGCTGGCCTTTGGAAACAATAAATACATGTAAAAACCATAGACAGTATAAGAAGTGGACAGAGCCATCTCATTGGAACTCAGTTGAGACAGTTGAAGCCCATTTTTAGCGATTTTTGAGCACTTCCGTTCCTGACGCGCAGACTCAAACTAAGCTTGATGACGTGAGCAACCTGTCTGACAGACGTTAATCTTCTAGTAGCTCTGCTGTGCGTGAAAATTGCCAACGTTAATCTTGCAGAGACGGGGAACTTGAGCAAAGAGTTCTTTGGCGTGAGTGAGCAGGAGTAAGTATTCCGTTGCTTTTATGGACTCATTATCTATGGGCTTCTCCCTTGACGGGACGTCCCCCCGATTGCCTGCGAGCTTCTCCTGCTGTCTGTACGGTAATTTCTGTACAGCGCGACAGAGAGTCGAGTGGTTATGACGCAATCGTTAGCCTATTTTTACTAAATCTGTTTCTACGGGGCCATAATGTAACATAGAAGGTAATGGAGCCCTTTATACATGGTCGTGTTTCTTTAGAAATCAATAATGGACAAATGGAGTCTTTAAATGCCTCAGATGTAAAGTTATTCGCTGTCAAAGTGACGCCAAAATAAATGGGAGTCAATGGAAATGCTAACGCAAGTGAATTCTGCTACAACATGGCGGCACCCGGCTGGCTTCAACTTCCGGTCCATGGATTACCCCCTTGGTAAAAACTCACCATGCAGGATTGTTTCATGCATATAGCAGCTGTTAAATTGCTTTAAACTGCGTAGTGCACATGCCCCAATTAAACGTATTTCCAGCATGCAAAATAGCCCAACAAGATTTAGCAAAGACATTTTCCTGTGATGCAATGATTGTATGAAAAGATATAGCTAATAACGGAATATTTAACTTGAAA